TTAACGTGTTTATAATCATAAACGTAAATAAATAAATCAGAGAGAAGGGGGGGGGTATCGATACCTTTGAAAACGAGTATCGTATCTGGATACAACGTTTTAGTATCGAGACTTTTGAGTATTGATAAAATAAATAAATCAGAGAGAGAGAGAGAGAGAGAGAGAGAGAGAGAGAGAGAGGGGGGGGTGTATCCATACTTTTGAAAATGAGTATCGTATCCGGATACGTTTTAGTATTGATACTTTAACGTGTTTATAATCATAAACAACGTAAATAAATAAATCAGAGAGAAGGGGGGGTATCAATACCTTTGAAAATGAGTATCGTATCTGGATACGTTTTAGCATCGATACCTTTTTGAGTATTGATACTTTAACGTGTTTATAATCATAAACATAAACAGAAAAGGGGGGGTTATCCATACTTTTGAAAATGAGTATCGTATCTGGATCCAACATCTTAGTATTGAGACTTTTGAGTATTGATAAAATAAATAAATCAGATAGAGGGGGGGTGGTATCCATACTTTTGAAAATGAGAAACGTATCCATATACGTCTTAGTATCTATATCTTTCTGAATATCGATCTTTTTCCCACCCTGGCAGGTCCCGGGGGGCCTCTACTCCTCACCTATGGGGTACTTGTGCTTGTCCGTGTCGATGCCGGCGTACATGACCCCCCCGAACAGGTCGTTCATGATGCTGGCCAGCGCCTCGGCGTTCAGCATCCCGTGCAGAGCGCCCACGAACACCGTCTTACTCGGGTCCAGCCGCTGGGCGGGGCAGCGCACGTAGTTACTGTCCGAGATCACCCAGGGGATCACCTGCACCTGTAATGGAGACGGGATCCATCAGAATAACCTGTTTCCTCACCAGCATCCCAATAAATAATAAAAATAATTTAAAAAATAAATAATAAATAACACCTGCACCTGTAATGAGACGGGATCCGTCAGAATAACCTGTTAAACCCCCCCAGAACATCCTTATAAATAATAAAAAATAAAAAAACAAAACACCTGCACCTGTGGAGGAAACGGGCTCAGTCAGAATAACCTGTCTCCTCACCAGCATCCCAATAAATAAATAAAAAAAATTAAAATAAAAAAATAAAAAACACCTGCACCTGTGGTGGAGACGGGCTCTGTCAGAATAACCTGTTAAACCCCCCCCAGCATCCTAATAAATAAATAAAAAAAATAAAAATAAAAAACACCTGCACCTGTGGTGAGACGGGCTCCGTCAGAATAACCCGTTTCCTCACCAGCATCCCAATAAGAAAAATAAAAAATAAAAAAAACACAACAAAACACCTGTAAATGAGACGGGCTCCGTCAGAATAACCTGTTAAACCCCCCCACAGCATCCTAATAAATAAATTAAAAAAATAAAAAAAAAAAAAAAACACCTGCACCTGTAATGAGACGGGATCCATCAGAATAACCTGTAACCCCCCCACAGCATCCTAATAAATAATAAAAAATAAAAATAAAAAACACCTGCACCTGTAATGGAGATGGGATCCATCAGAATAACCTGTTAAACCCCCCCAGAACATCCTTATAAATAATAAAAAATAAAAAAACAAAACACCTGCACCTGTAATGGAGACGGGCTCTGTCAGAATAACCTATTAAACCCCCCCACCCCAAGCAAACTAATAAAAAAAAATAAATTTAAAAAAAAACAACAAAACACCTGCAACTGTGGTGGAGACGGGCTCCGTCAGAATAACCTGTATCCTCACCAGCATCCCAATAAAAAATAAAAAAAATTTTAAAAAAACAAAACACCTGCACCTGTGGTGGAGACGGGATCCATCAGAATAACCTGTTAAACCCCCCCAGAGCATCCCAATAAAAAATTTTTTTTTAAAATTAAAAAAAAACACAACACCTGCACCTGTGGAGGAAACAGGCTCCATCAGAATAACCTGTTAAACCCCACCCCAGCATCCCAATAAATAATAAAAAATAAAAATAAAAAAATAAATAAAATAAAAACACCTGCACCTGTAATGGAGACCGGCTCAGTCAGAATAACCTGTCTCCTCACCAGCATCCCAATAAATAAATAAAAAATAATAAAAAACAACACCTGCACCTGTGGTGAGACGGGCTCCGTCAGAATAACCTGTTAAACCCCCCCCCAGCATCCTAATAAACAAAATAAAAAATAAAAAAAAAACAACAAAACACCTGCACCTGTAATGGAGACGGGCTCAGTCAGAATAACCCGTTTCCTCACCAGCATCCCAATAAATAAAAATAAATTTAAAAAAAAAACATCTGCACCTGTAATGGAGACGGGCTCCGTCAGAGCATCCCAATAAAATAAAAAATAAATAAAAAATAAAAACAACAAAACACCTGCACCTGTAATGGAGACGGGATCCGTCAGAATAACCTGTTAAACCCCCCCACCCAGCATCCCAATAAAAAAAATAAAAATAAAAACTACAGCAAACACCCTCTAGTCTGAGGCAATATGTTCAATTCTGATGTGAGATTTGCTGCGTTTTGTTCAGTTTAGTCTGTTCACTAATCTATCTGCCAAACTCCTATATTTTCTTAGGGGTCTTTATTTTCATGTTGTATTTATATTCTTATTCTTTGCTTATTTTTGCTTAATTAGGAGTTTTTATTTTTAACTTTGCATTTATATTCTTATTTTTTTGGCTATTCACATTTAGTGTGTACCTGTACTTAATCTGTATTTTTTTGCATTTTGCTCTGTCACTTTTTAGCCCTGAAAGCTGCTGGTAATTTTAATTTCCTGAAGGAATAAAGTACAAGTCTAAGTCTTCAGTGCTGTACCAAGCTGGTCCCAATCCGATATCTGGATCGGAAGGAGAAAATGCAGATCCAGATTCCAGATCCAGTTTTTTTTCAAAGTATTAGCATTAGCATCTGTAACCCACAGGTCTGTGTCCTAACCATTAAGTTGTTATCAGAGTAAATCCCTGTTCAACATGAGTCTGATAACTAAGTAAGTAGATCAACTTTAAACTTTAACACATGCTCTGATAGGCCGGGATCAGATTGGAAAAAGCTGGATCGGGACATCCCCATGCTGTACTATTCAAAACTCTTTTTCCTTGCTTGTGTCTTCTAGTGCTGCTTTTGGTGGGAATTATTGTTCTATAAATAACTCAGTCGGTCTGATCTGCTCTGTTTGGAAAGCTGGGAGAATAACTAATGTGATGTGGCGCTATTTAAATAAAATTTAATTGAAAACGTCTGCTAATACAGCTGCTTATTGGTCTGTATGTTTAGGAGAAAGGTACCAAAACTGTTGGCCTTTTCATAAAAATAAATAAAAAATTGAGTAATGCTTAAAAACTTTCAAATTCAAGCATTTGACTTAATGTCAGAGCTTTAACTTACAACATTAATGGCAATTTTTTTAAAATGTGAGGGAAAGCAGCATCTGATTGTAGAAGATTCTCTGATTTTTAGCTGAATAAATAAAGACAAACATGCCAACAGTTACTACTGATGCTAAAAGCTAAAACAGAGCAGGACTGAGGCTGTAAATAAAAACAGCAGCTCAGGCTTTCCCCACCAGCAGATTCCCACTTTCAGCGTTCATTTTTGTGGATGTAAAATGGCTGTTGGAGTCTCTCAGAGCTAAATCCTGGATCGTTTTTTACTCACGTCTTTGCACCGCATTCTGCGGCTGGACATCTTGAAGTAGTATTCCCGGTTGTCCTCGGGGTGAAACGGGTCCTGGGAGCAGGCGTGGAGCAAAGCCCGCACAGACTTCTCATTCTCAAACACCAGGTAGACGTAGCCTACAAACAAACAGCGTTTAGTAAACACCCAGAGGCAATGTATTACTCAAAATAAATAGTATATACTTTAAGATTTACATAAACTGACACAAGAGTGTTGCAATTAATGGTTCAATTAAACCTGACAAGTGAAATGGAAGTTAAGCCTGATCAAAGAATAAAAAAAAAACAGAAAATTACTTTTTTTTTAATTCCTTATTTGACCTTTAACAAAATATGTAAGAAGAAAAAACTATTATTTTTTTATTATAATTATAATGTAATATACAATATAATATATTACTATGCGATAAGTCAAAATTATTTTTTGTGTAGTCTTCTGCCCCCTGTTATCAGGTGTATCTGATTGTGTTCAATAGGATTTTGAGCAAAGTTTTTACCATTAAATTAAGCAAAAGGTGTCAGACGCAACACATTTCCGAAACCATATATATCAAATGATACATTTGGCATTATAGGGTTAATACATTTTTCCTTCTAACATCTGAAAGTAGTTCAATTAAAAACACAAACAGTAAGTCAAACCCATAATGGAAGGTTCTCCATTTGTATTTGCAGGTATTCAGTAGTTTCCAGTGCTTTACAGGGTTAGTGAGGTGGTTCTTTACCAGCTACACCACGTTTGATGCTCCACATATGCCCAGAACCACCTTTATTTTTTTTATTTATTTATATTTTTTTAGAGCTGAGCCTGTACTCACCTGCACCACAGTGCCACCTTTGAACCATGAAGGAATAAAACTTAGCCTACCAGCTCGTGGTTACCTTTGGCCACATTACCTTTGGGAGGGCAGCGGGGGTGCTTCCCATCCTTACCCGGCCACTCCACGGTCAGAGGGCCATAACCGCTGAAGGTGTTGATCAGACCCGCTGAAATTAAAGGCAAAGTGTTGGTGAGACAGGAATAGATTAGACTGTACATTAGACCAGTGTTTTTTAACCTTTGAGCCAAGGTACATTTTTTCATTGAAAAAAAAAAAAAAAAATTGAGGCACACCAACCAAAAATGTTAAAACAAATCTGTAGCTGCCTATAGTAACACTATAGTTATTCTTATTTTATCTTATCTTGTGTCTTGAATAGGAATCAAACAAAAATGTATTTTTATCATATTGTATATTTCTTCTTTCAAATTGCTCTTAACATGTGCACTTCAATATACAAAATTATATACAAAATCTAGGATACAGATTATATACAAATCTGTATCCGCCTATAGTAACACTATAGTTATTCTTATCTCATCTTAAGTGTCTTGAATAGGAATCAAATAAACAAATGTATTTTTATCACATTTTATATTTCTTCTTTCAAATTGCACTTAACATGTACACTTTACTATACAAAATTATATACAAAATCTAGTCATAAGGAATTACTACATGATTACTCCACCAGTCACTAGAACAGCACAGACACTCAAAAATGGAATATTATTTGCAGATAATTAAGTCCCTATAGAAAGTCTTTTTAGACCAATTAGGTGAAATATTATGATTTTCTATGGCACACCTGACCATCACTCACTAGTGTACCGAGGCACAGTGGTTGAAAAACACTGCTTTAGACAGGCCACCTTAGTCTCATTTTAAAACCAACCTCTTTTCTTTGGCTTTTGACACCATGCAGAGTGTTGATTTTATGTATATACAGTGGGGGAAATAAGTATTTGACCCCTTGCTGATTTGCAGGTTTGCCCACTTACAAAGAATGCTTATTTTTCCTCATCAGATGGTTATCAATTTTTATAAATTCATATGACGTGATTTTCTGGAATTTTCTTTGGGATTTTGTCTTTCACTGTTAGAATGTACATATGATTAAAGTTATAGATCGTTGCATTCTTTGTAAGTGGGCAAACCTGCAAAATCAGCAAGGGGTCAAATACTTATTTCCCCCACTGTACATTTTTATCCTATGCGGGCAGTGCTTTTATTTTTTTTATTTTAATTTTTTACTGTGTACCTCATCTTTTCTTGCTGTACTTCTATGGTGTTATCCATTTATTCTGTATATCTTTTTGTGCAGCACTTTGGAAACCTTGTGTTTGTTGAAATCGTGCTATATATAAATATAAAGTGGATTGGGACTACAGATTGAGGATTTAGGGTTAAAATAATGACTAAACTGTTTAAAAACCTGCTTTTTAAGGGTTAAAAATGACTAAACTGTTTTAAAAAACTGCTTTTTAAGAGTTAACTGAATCTCAGAGCATCTGCATTTCAGCTGCATTTCATGATGTGGAGAGGTCTTTATTATAGAGGATGCAGCTTTGAAACGCAATTTCATAATTATGGCCACCAGCCATTTCCTCAACTGAACACAAAGCTCCATGTAAATTTAGGATTACTCGGCACATTTAAAGATGTGCACAGTTAAAAATATCACAGGAGAGACTTGAGTTGAAAAGCTCAACAATGGAGAGTATTTGATCAAACAGACGAGATGCAAAGCATCAATGGCCGTTAATTTTCAATACATTTGAGGTTCGAGAAAGTGTAGAAGTCATTCTGAAATGAAAAGGTAGCATGGTTTCTAAGAAGGAAGTGGCTTTTGAAGCCATTTACTACCTCCAAGCTGAAGCTTAATTCTTTAAACAAGAATTTGCAAGCATGTCCTCATCTGGTCTTATAACAAATGTAACTTTAAAATGCAGATAAATTACAGTTTCATTGAGAAAATGTGAGCAGCCGTTACCTTCTGTGATGTCCCAGGGAACCCCCCCCAGAAAGACCTTGCAGGAGTACAGAGGGTCCTTGTTGTTTCTGGGAGGCAGCTGACCGCTCCAAGTGAAAGTGGCCTCATTCACAGCTGTGAGCAGAAAAACTAGTTAGCTTACATTCAATTAGGATTTTCCCAATCCGATATCTGGATCAGATCAGCCAACGATATTTGCAACTAAAGGAGAAAATACAGATCCAGACTCCAGATCCAGTTTCTTTTTTTAAAGTCGGATTCCACACAAGCATTAGCATCAGTAACCCACAGGTCTGTGTCCTAACCATTAAGTTGTTATCAGAGTAAATCCCTGTTCAACATGAGTCTGACAACCAAGTAGATAAATAATTTTAAACTTTAACACGGGCTCTGATACGCCGGGATCGGATCAGAAGTGAAAAAAGCTGGATCGGGACTTCCCTATATTATAACTAGCGACTTAAAAATATGGAAACTGTAATCCTAAATTGCTACCCTGAATTAGCTCGGTGACATCTCAGACATACAAAATCAAATTCTTTATAAACCTTATTCATTCTGATTGAAGGCCACCATATACATCCCCTCTTATTAATTGCTGTGTCCCCATAAAGTTACTTTGTTCTGATCAAAATGAGTCAAGCAGTTCAAATAAAAATCAAACTAAAATCCAATCTACACTTAAATTAGCATCTCTAACCCACAGGTCTGTGTCATAACCATTAAGTTGTTATCAGAGTAAATCCCTGTTCAACATGAGTCTGACAACTAAGTAAGTAGATAAATAACTTTAAACTTTAACACATGCTCTGATAGGCCGGGATCAGAAGTGCAAAAACTTTTGCAGGAGCTCCTACAAGTTCTCCACCCAGATTCCCCACAAGGAACAGAGTCCTTTTTACATACAGCAGCTGGTTGTATGGTCTTCCCTTTCTTATTTTTTCCCCCATTTCTCTCTGTCTAAAGTATCTCTCCTTTCCACTGCTATTCTCTCTTCCCTGTCCCTCTGTCAGGGTCGGCATTATTGGACACATGTTAGTTTGGTAACAAAAATGAATAAAGCAGTTTTGGTTAATAAAGGGGGGCTTCTCACTAACAAAGCCTCCCTTGGCAAAGCAATTTTGTTCAGCATAGCACTAAGTACTCCGATTTTTGTTCTGCTGCCATAATGTTGAACAGGACAAGGTAAAAAAAATAAAAAAATAAATATATATATTAGGAGATGAATAAATAAATTTCAGTTCTGCTGCTGTAATGATAAACAGGACAAGGTAAAAAAAAATATATATAAAATTATTAATAAAGAGATCAATAAATACAATTCAGTTCTGCTGCCATAATGAACAGGACAGGGTAAAAAAAAATATATATATATGAAAAATTATTAATAAAGAGATAAATAAATAAATATAAGTTCTGGCGCCATAATGCTGAACAGGACAAGGCAAAAAAAAAGTGAAAGTGAAAAAAGCTGGATCGGGACACCCCTACATTGACGGTTTTCTCCAATAGGCCTCTATCTTATGGCACC